TATTCTCACAAACCCAATGTACCTTCTTGTATATATATAAATAAATAAATAAATAAATAAATAAATAAATAAATAAATAAATAAATAAACATGTTTGCTGATGATGCTAAGATAATAGGGAAGATAAGAAACTTAGATGATTGTCATGCCCTTCAAGAAGACCTGGACAAAATAAGTACATGGAGCGCCACTTGGCAAATGGAATTTAATGTTAATAAATGCCATGTTATGGAATGTGGAATTGGAGAACATAGACCCCACACAACCTATAAATTATGTGAGAAATCTTTAAAGAATTCTGATAAAGAAAGAGATCTAGGGGTGGTTCTAGATAGAAAACTATCACCTGAGGACCACATAAAGAATATTGTGCGAGGAGCCTATGCCACGCTTTCTAACTTCAGAATTGCTTTTAAATACATGGATGGCGATATACTAAAGAAATTGTTCACGACTTTTGTTAGGCCAAAGCTAGAATATGCAGCAGTTGTGTGGTGCCCATATCTTAAGAAGCACATCAACAAACTGGAAAAGGTGCAAAGACATGCTACTAAGTGGCTCCCAGAACTGAAGGGCAAGAGCTACGAGGAGAGGTTAGAGGCATTAAATATGCCAAAACTAGAAGACAGAAGAAAAAGAGGTGATATGATCACTACATACAAAATAGTAACAGGAATTGATAAAATCGATAGGGAAGATTTCCTGAGACCTGGAACTTTAAGAACAAAAGGTCATAGATATAAACTAGCTAAACACAGATGCCGAAGAAATATAAGAAAATTCCCTTTCGCAAACAGAGTGGTAGACGGTTGTAACAAGTTAGGGGAGAAGGTGGTGGAGGCCAATACCGTCAGTAGTTTCAAAGCGTTATATGACAAAGAGTGCTGGGAAGACGGGACACCACGAGCGTAGCTCTCATCCTGTAACTACACTTAGGTAATTACACATGCATACATACACACCTACATATTCAGTTTTCCAATTATGGGGAAAGCATATCTGGTCAGTATCTCATCTGGGAATTATATACTGTGGGGCGGGGTTTTCATCCAGAGAATCGAGGCTCTTGGGCCACCAGCAGTGGGAGCGGGGCGTCTCATCTTGGAGCAATCTTTCAAACATTGGGTCCTCTAACATTTCGATGGTGTTCCACACCCTGATGGCTTGGTGCTGCAGTCTGATGTGTAGTGGCTGTATGTTCAGGAGTTCATGGAGCTCCTGGATTGTCTGATCATATGGTGGACGGTGTTTTGCTGCTCTCCTTAGCGTCTTATTTTGCACTGCTTGCAGTTTCTGCATGTTAGTTTTCTTTATGGTGTGTAGTGGTACTGGGGGATACTCTAGATGCGACCAAACTAGAGCCTTATATAGGTGGATCTGAATGTTAGTACAGGTACTGAGGCTTCGGAATCTTCTCAGTTTTCCTAATGCTGCTTTGGCTTTGTTTAGTCGGTCCCTTACATGAATTTGTATCCCTGATCTATTTATCATAAGTCCCAGTATTCTGCCTACCTCCGCATATATGATTGGATGGTTGTCAAGGATGATGGGGTCCGGGTTTCTTTTCGCAATGAAAAGAAACTTTTCTGAAACTTTTGTTTGTTGGTGCTAATTTTCCATTGCTTCTCAAAGTTGTTTGAGTTCAATTGCTGCCTTGGTCTTGTCAGCTAGTAGCAGCTTTGATGGTCCCGGTTGGCAAATTATTTGGGTGACATCGTCAGCGTATGTGATGTATTCTCCATGTTGGGGTTGGGGTAGGTCAGCTTTGTGTATGTTGAATAGAGTGGGGGAGAGGCAGCTTCCTTGTGGTACTCCACTTTTCAGTTCTATTACATCACCCAAGTAGCTGCTGATATTAAGCCTAGCAGTTCTATTGTCTATAAAGCTGCAGAGAGTAGCAGTAAATCTCTCAGGAAGCCCTAGTTCAGATATCTTATATTTTAGGCCTGTGTGCCACACTTTGTCGAAGGCTTTCGAGACGTCTCTAAGCACTATATTAGACTGATCTTTTTTCGACACTGCGTTGGCTATATGCTCGTAGATCAGGGCTATAGCTGTATGGGCCCTCTGCGGTTTCTAAACCCATGCTGCCTGGTGTTATACTGCCCTTCCTCTTCCATGTACTTCACAAGTCTCTGATTGATAATTTTTTTGAATATTTTACCTGGTACTTCGAGGAGGGAAATTGGCCTGTAGTTTTCAGTTTGGGTTTGGGGGTTTACCTGGCTTGGGGATTAATCTTATTGTGGCATTCTTGAAGTATGTGGGGAATAGTCCAGGTGCAAGAGCTGCATATATGATACATGTGCATTGATGGAGTGCAATCACTGGTAGGTTGGATAATACCATCTTATTTATCTTGCTGTTGCCCGGCGCCTTGTTCTTGAAACCCATAATTGTTTTATGGACCTCTGCAATGGTTGTGTTTCATAAGGTGGCAGTCATTGCGTATGTTGTTAAGGTCTATTGTTTGCGTCGGGAGTAGTGCTGCAGCTCTGTTATCGACTTGAGTTGTAATTTCCCTTTCATTAATTGGGCAAAAATTTTAATTTTCTTCCAGGTTTATCCTGAATATTTTTTCCCAGAACTTCTTGAATTCGTGCTCTTGTTCTCTCTCCTCATAGAGTTTATTTCCTGAGGCGTCTATGATGTAGGGTGTTTCCTCAGAAGAGCTTCCCATCAGGGTCTTTACTTTTTTCCAGAACTTTCCTGGGTTTCTGTAGTCGACTTGGATTTTGCTTATTAGGTCATCCCATTGTTTGGTGTACTCTGTTTTACACAGATCTTGCAGCTCATCTTGAAGTTCCCTTTGTAGTCTTTTGCGCTCATCCGTCCACCTGTGTTGTGTTATGAGTTGTAGAAGATTTTTATATCTGGTTTGCAGTGTCCTGAGCGCCTCAGTGGCTGGGGGGTGTGGGAGCCTTATATGGTGAGCTACGGAGATGTGATCAATCATGCATTTTTCTATGGTGCTAATCCATGTATTTAACTCGGCATTTATGCATGATGTTTCCTTTCCATTAAAATCTGTGACACTGATTTCCTGTGCACTGCTTCTGAATGCTTCCCAGTCAGTTTTAGTGTATTGAAGTCTTGGTGGTGAGGGTTTCTGAATGGGGTTAGTTGACAGCGTCATTATTATTGGTAGGTGGTCGCTTGTGCTCACAGGACCCCTTTCTATGCGGGTGTTTAGGAAGTGGTGGTTGTTTGACAGAATTATGTCTGGTTTACCACTGTGGCCTTGTCTGACGTAAGTTGGGAAGTCTGGGCCCAGGTGGGTTAGATTTCCGTTCCTTATCATATTGTGAATGGCTTCTCCTGCTTGGTTGTTCCTTCCATGTCCCAGTGTTCTGTGCTTGGCATTCAGATCACCCAGAAAGTAGGCAGGTCTGTTCCTTCTGGTAAGTTTCATGATGTCGGCTAGGGCAAGGTAAGGACGTCTTGGTGGTTGGTAGCATGTTCCTATGAAGATTATACCTTTCGTAGTTTGGAGTTCAATTGCCAGGAAGTTTTCCTGGAAGTTATCTAGAATTTTGTGTGGAATATTTCTTTTTACGGCAATTGCCGCTCCATCGTTGGCCTGGTCAGCTCTGTTGACCTGGTAAATTTTGTAATTGAAGATCTTGATCTTCTCACCATTCTTTTTTCCATGGCTGTTAATGAGTATTATATCAGGATCTATTTCTCTGTACAAGTTGCTGAGTTCCAATGCTCTGTGCAGAGTCCAGCATAGAACATTGTGTTGAATTATTGTTAATGACTGGATGGCTATGTTGAATCTGATGGGTCTCTTCCACCTTGTGGATTGTTTGGGATCGGTCCATAACCATTGCGCATTTAGTTAAAGTCCTCGCCGGATATCTGTTGAATGGTTATGGGGTTTTGGTTTTGGTTAAAAGTTTATGACATTATCTGGTCGTACAAGTCACTCGTAGTGACATCGGGAATGTTGTGTTGGAATTTTATTTGCTTTCAGAGGATCTTGAGGGTAACCGTTTGGGTTGCTTTTCTGGAGAAGAAATTGATTGTGTTTGGGGCCTCTACTGGGGCTTGGGTGACTGGGTTTGAGTGTGCAACATTTTGTGTGGGTGTGTGGGAAGCAGTGAGAGCCGTTGCCAGTCCCTGGTCCTGTGGTACTTGTATGTTTTGTTGTTTATGTGTGGGCCCTCTCCGGGGGTCCTGAGTGGTAGTTGCTGGTGTTGTATCATCTTCCTCTGGCTTGTTGGTGGTTGCTGGAGTTGTGGGTGCTGGCACTTGTTGGGAGTTAGTCACAGTTGGGGTAGTGCTGACTACATTACTGTCCACCAGGGCTTTTATAATATTAGTGGAGGAGGGAGTGTCTGGGAATTCCATCAATGGGAGACCATTCCTCTTGTACATTTCTTTAATTACGGATCCAAATGACCCTGGGTTTGCTATGTTTTCTAAATGAGCAAAGATCATACTGCTTAGGATCTTTGTGGGTAGGTTCCCATTTACCTGTGAGGACATGTTTGTGTGTGTGTGTGTGTGGAGTTGGGGGGGGGGGGTTAAATTAGTTAGTATTTAGTAACAGTTGATTGATTGACAGTTGAGAGGCGGACCAAAAGAGCAGAGCTCAACCCCTGTAAGCACACCTAGGTGAATACACACACACACACACTATGTATATTCAATTTTTGGAACCCCTTGATGATTGAAGAGAAGAGATAAGCTATCATTTTGTCTTTTACAGTTTGGGATCATTATATTTATGGTGCATTGTTATTCTGTGAATAACCATGCACCAGTGTGTGCATAGTTTGAGGATGGTCTTCCAGTGTGTTTGAGGATACATATAAGTGTAATTGGTAATTGATTAGACATTCCACTTTTCTGGTGGAGCGTATCCTAGATTAGACTGATTATTATGCAGCTATTCCAGTAAGGAGTGAAAGGTTTGAGATATTGGATGTGGCTCAATAATGAGACTATTATTATGTTTAGTATTATTATTATTATTATTTATCATCATCTTGCAGAGACCTTGACTTTAATCCAAATATGCAGTACTACCTTGCTTCATGTGGGGATGATTGCAAGACCAAATTCTGGGATATTAGAAATACTGATCAGCCTCTCAAAGAACTTGGTGACCACTCTCACTGGTGAGTATATCAATTGTGATGTTTCTTTACTGTATATTTATTTCATATATACCAGCCACCTTTCTGTAAATTGATGTGGTTTTAGGTATTTTAATTCATATTTATATGGACAATAAAAAGGGTATGCTTGTAAAATTGATTCTTTCTGGGTCATTCCTTGTGGCTCCCCTGAAGCTATCTTGCTCCTATCTACTATGTCCCATCAGTCACAGAGTTCTGTTTGCCCTACCAGGGACCAGGGCCAGAATCTGCCCCCCCCCCCCACTCATTTAGGCGCAGAGAGCTAGTGACTTTCCATCACCCCACTAGGAAAGCATCCAAAAAATCAGCAAAGCATTACAGACCACTACCAGGTTCACACGAAGTGAAGCCTTGAAAACTACCAAACACCTACTCGAACAATTAGGCAGGCAGGAACCAAGGATACAGTGAGCATTTCCCCTCTGTATTGCCATGCTGAGGCACTGAAAGAGGAAGTTGGTGCTCTAGGGTCTTATTGATTCAATTAGCTTAGAAACCAGATCCTTCAAAAAAGGATCTGGGTTCTAAGTGGCACTTTTATCCTAGGTACCAAGTATCTCCGAGGCAATGGGATCAGAACTGTAGTGGTAATCCAGATCTCTGTATTTATGAGACTTGGCTGTTTCTCTGTGAGTGGTAGCACTATCCAGATGTGCAACATCAAAGTCAACATAAGTGTTAGCCAAGGTTGAAACACATGTGTAGTCCCACACCTATTGTCTACCTTCTTCCGCTCACTGTGATCCCACCTGAGCAACCAACAGGCTCGTTAGAGTTGCGGGGCATTAGGTATTGGGGTTCTCTTTCTGTTGGACAACCAGCTGTGGTACGGTTCTTCTTAATAATGTCGTCAACATCACTGTGTCTTGAGTGCCATCCTCCTGTGCTTTGGCAGAACTGGCCGATTCTGTCGACTACTACCTCTCTACTATATTTGGTGTGGTTTGTGGCAGCGAGGCGCAGGGCCATTACAGTTCGGAGGGTGTGTGTGGTGTGAAACATATGACAGTTGCTAACACTGAGGGTCGCTAATAGGAAGCCACCTGCATGGGAAGCTGGTACAGTTCTAAGTCGAGCAGTGTCATGTGGTGGTGTTGCAGCCACTCAGTCTACAATGGGGCCATCCCAGCTGGATTGCTTGTGGGCCTTAGATGGTGGTGGTTGGAGTGCTGGTTCTGCGAGAGACCCATTTGGTGGTGAAGTGTATAAAACTGAGATCATGCACCCACCTGCCTATTGACCTAGGTGATCCGGAAAGATTCTCTTCACCAGGTTGCTAGATGCTACTGAAGAGGAAAGGAACGCCAGTACAACAATTTGTGTTACTGTTCAAACGCTGTAGCCCCCGAAGCTGACGAGAAGGGAGGCTTGTTTCGATGACTCTTGAGTCATCAAGAGAAAGGTTAAGGTCTTTAATAGGGGAAGCCCCTTCAGCTCCCTGGAGCTATCCAGGCTGATATGTATATTATTAGACTTTGGCATCAGTCAGTGTGAATGGAGTTTTAGGCCTACTAGGGACCCCGAGCCAGAACCTGGCCCCCTCAGAGAGACACGAGGAGCAATGGCCTATAGAAATGCACATGCAATTTGGAGCATTCTGTGTCTGCCATCATCCAGGCCAGGCATCCAGAAAGATAAGCGCTTCAAAACAAACTCCTATTCTGGTTAAAACTACTACAGAATACTAACTAGAACTCTCCAAATAAAAACGAGCAAACAGGCACGATGTCACACGTACTGCGCCGCTTGTCTGTGCAGCTCCCCCCTCCCTGGGAGGAGGAAGCCCCAGACCCCTCGCGCTGGCTATCCACACCTCGGTTCTCGGCTGATGTGTTTGAGGCTCTGTCGTGTGGCTCCAGCTCGAGTTGGTTCCTCCAGCCGTGGCATCAGGGTCTGACCAGTGCCCCCCCCCCCCTTCCTTCCTGCTTTTCTGGCTGCCCCGGCTTTTTCTTGTGAGGCCGGGGCTTTGGAGTATGACTCATCCCCGGGGTCTGATGTGGAGGTCCCCGGGGTTGGGTGAATGGCTGACTTGGGGCCTTGGGCCCTGCTTTACCCCGCCTGGGTTTTCCAACCCTTAGAGTGGGGCTTTTTGTTACAAGGAGTGATGTTTTCCTTTCCCCCCTCTGCGTCCGAGTTGGATTTGAATTCGGTTTCGTATCCCTTAGGGTCATTCAGTTCCGTCCTTCTGGAGGTTTTCAGCTTCCCGCATCTTGCCAATGGAGATGCGGGCGGCCATTGCGGTTTACCTTCTGTGCGACCCAGAATTTGCCTCTATAATGGATCTGTTGTCTTTCAGGTTTGGGTCTGCGTCTCCATACTGGGTTCGTTACGAGGTTGTGGAGTCGTCCTGGCTTGCGGACTGCCTGTTATTGTTATTGGATGCTTGGAGTACTTTCTGTCATACCTGCACGCTTGAGTGGCGTGAGGCGTTGACAGTGATCCAGGGTTACCTGGGGGGGGGGGGGCGACTTCGAGCACCTCAAGGTGTGTTTGTTCGCCCCTGCCCTTCCGCGGGATATTAGCGTGGTTCAGCTTCACATGCAGGTTCCCGCCCTGTCGGCTGCGCTTGTGGCTGAGGATTTTCAAGCTCGTGGCTTGTTGGCTTGGGTCTTGCTATTCCTTTTCTCCTGGAGCTGTCTTCAGATTGGCTTGTGGAGGATGTAAAGGGACTTGGAGCTGTTCCTGGGTCTGGTGCCTTAGTCTTGGTGGCTCGTGTGTCGTTTGTGCTGCTGAAGCTGTTTGCGTTGATCCTGTGGTTTGCAGTGTCGTGGTTTTTTGCTGTGTGTCTCGCGTTTCAGCAGGTTGTGCTCGCTTCCTCTTTGGAATCTGCTTGGGCTCTGGCTCCTAGTTTCTTTGCCCTTTTGTCCTTTAGTGTTTGAAGAGTCTGCGGTTGGACAGTTTCTGCAGGCGGCCTCGGTTAGTTGTCATCTGATGTCGGATTTGTTAGTCCTTCGGGGGTCCCGGGGGGGGGGGGGTCCTCTCGGAAGGGTCGTGCTCGGGGGTCTGCTCATCCTGGGGCGTCAGAGTTACCACTTTCGTTATCTCCCATTCGGGTTGAACCTGACTCCTCACATGTGCTCAATGTGTTCACCTTGCTTGATGTGTTCACGGACGCATTGTCTCGTGGCTTGGGCTTTTTGACCATGTGCTCACCGGGCCGGCAGGGGGTGGTGGGGTCCATCCGTCTGTCGGGCCCACAGCACGGTGCGGGAGTACGCGGCTGTGTGGTATTCGTTTCAGAGGATTCGGGTTGCCTGCAGATTGACGATCCGGCTCCATTCGAACTGCTCCCCGGTGGTTCATTGCCTGAACCACACAAACATTGACATGTAGGAATATAGACTCTCAGGTAAGTTAGTAATTTAAATGCACAGTAGCAGTCCTAGGCGTTCAATCCCCGACCGTCCAAGTGGTTTGGCACCATTCCTCCCCATCCCAAATCCTTATCCTGATCCTTTCCCAGTGTTAAGTAGTTGTAATGAACACCACACGCAGACCACAAAAGCGTAGATGCATCAGCATCGACAGGGAAGATTTCTTGAGACCTGGTACTTCAAGAACAAGAGGTCATAGATTTAAACTAGCTAAACACAGATGCCGAAGAAATATAAAAAATTCACCTTCGCAAATAGAGTGGTAGACGGTTGGAACAAGTTAAGTGAGAAGGTGGTGGAGGCCAAGACCATCAGTAGTTTCAAAGCGTTATATGACAAAGAGTGCTGGGAAGACGGGACACCACGAGCGTAGCTCTCATCCTGTAACTACACTTAGGTAATTACACTTAGGTAATTACCTGGTGCGTGAAGTGCAAGGTGCCACTCTGCCCTGTTGGCTGTTTCGCAGCATATCACACACTCGCTGAGTACTGAGTGTGTGATACTGTACAGTGTGTATATATAATGTACATACCAATATATTTGCATGATATATTAGAAATAAGTGCAGGATAAGTGAACCATTTTGTGATGCATGTAACACAGTGTCTACGTACAGTACGGATGTTTTACTGCCATAATATGGTGTACGTGATCACCATACATCGGTCCGGCATGTAAAATATAATAAAATGTATTTGGAACTGTGCGCAAAAAATGTGCAAAAATATATTCACGGCAACTCGAGCGCCCTACCCCGGGCGCCCCACCGGCCCCGGGAGCATACTGCTCTGGCACACGGGGAATTATGACGTGACGCCCCACCTTTCGGACCCCATAGCAGCCAAAGTACAATTTCGAACTTCCGTTGCTATATCCATATACAGGGAGGGGTTTTAGACACTTTCAGAAGAAAAAAGAATTTTTTCCCAAGGTTTCATTTCCTGCGCACTGGGGGGATGTCATATTTATAGGCCGTGGAGTTAAAGGGTTAAATGGAGCCATATAATGGGAATAAGGTAATCACTAAATTAAAGAATGATCAGATTTACATGCACAAACAGAAGTAATGTACAGTGGTACCTCGGAATGCGATTGTCCCTGTATGCGAGGTTTTCGGAAGGCGAGGTGTATTTACTCCAAAAATTTGTCTCAGAAGGCGAGGGTTACTTCGGGAGGCGAGTTTGGACGCGAGTTTGTTGATACGCGTACAGCCGACCTAGCGCGTTCGTCGCCCCTCCGCCCCGCCGCCCCTCAGTTTATTATTGTCTCGCGCTCAGTGACTACCCCCACATCAATTCTTCTCGCGGATTTTCAGTGTTTTGTTGGATTTTTGGTGATTTGTCTATACAATTTGTTATTATATATCTCACCATGGGTCCCAAGAAAGCCAGTGGTAAGGATAAAGGCCAGAAAGCTCATGTGAGGATGACAATAGAGGAGAAACAAGAGATCATTCGGAAGCATGAGAACGGTACACGTGTTGTTGAACTTTGTAGGCAGTACCTGTACAACAAAGCCACATCAACAATATGCACTATACTTAAGAAGAAAAATAAGATTATGGGTGCTAAAGTGGCAAAAGGAGTAAGAACATTAACAGCA